GACATGATATAGAAAGAAATATCTCATAAATAAATCATGTCTTAATGAACAACCTGGAATACATCTGATATCCAAAATAAATAAATATGTCTCGACAACAAACAACTAAAAATCGTACTAAGGCACACTGCCTTTACACTATGAAATAAACTCTAAGGTCTGAACAAAAATATAAAACTACTGTGGAGCCTCTAATAAATTTAATGTCACTGCGACTATGTAAGAACTCCATCATCCTACGACTCTCTGCTACTCCGAATTACCTGAAAGAATATTAGAAGAAAAAGAGCAACAACAAGAGTATTAGAGCGCTATAGCAAGATCACCTCCATCCGCCCCCAGAGGAAGGGCTGCTAGATGGAGTGGAGGCTCTATCTGTTAAGCATAGTCTACCTAGATCATTTTCCTTCGTATCTAATTGAATTAATATTTAGACACCTACAATACGAGACGTAGTACGTCGAGCGAAATAATCTAAACAAGGAAACCCTCATGTATATACCATATATCTCAAATTGTAGACGCCTAAATATTAACACCGAACTAGAGAAAAACAATCTAAATGAAATCACAATTAGAAATCCACAACACGAGACTGGTACGTCGAGCGAAATAATCCAAACAAGGAAACCCTCATGTATATACCATATGTCTCAAATTGTGAATCGCTAATTATTGATCCGAACTAAAAAAATAAAGAAAATCAGTAAAAGAAAGTAAAGACATCAACATATCGTATTCATAATATCTTCCACTGTCACTAGGAAGATAGAATGAATACCGGCACAAATCCCGTGTACTTTCAAATGCAAAGTACTCTGGGTCATATATTTGCAGTGAGTCAAAAACATAACTTGCATCCGCCAACGACTCGGGCTATCATTTAACTATCTCAATGCAAGTTCGTGCAAGATTTTGATTCATCGCATCATCATGCAGGATGAACTACCTGGTCGCTATCCTAACAGTGTACATAGCTCATTAGTCTCATCGCATCTCTGTATGTAACACGAGTACGGGACGGACGACCAAGTAGGCATCCTAGGAATACATCTCACAAGCCTCATCGCACCCTAGTGCGGGACGGATTGGTAGATAAAGCATCCTAAACCCGACTCAATGGCCTGTACAAATAGAATATCAATGCACTATTCCCTGTAGTACTGAACTGAGCTCATCAACGATATCCAGAAGGTGTGTGTATAATATGTACTAAACTCTTTCTCAAAGTAATCGGGTGAAAACCCATCATAATTCATTTTAGCATACCCATGTGTGTGCTACTACACTATTCGTGAATTTACGTATAAAGAAGTGCGGCTCGAAACCCACAAACATATCTCAAACAGATGCCTACAACTTTGGTCTTTTGAAGAGACCTACAACTTTAATCTTTTGAGTTTTTTCAGATTCAAAATGCATCGGTGTGTAAAATATATAAACTCTTAACTTGTTAACTTTCCAGATTTCTCTTCGTGCATGTTTTGTGTATTTGCACTCATATATTCATAAGTATACATTGAATTAACCTCAAATTAATTCCTATCATACTCAAACATTAAAATATGTTATATTTTCACCATATAACATATTTATTATTATTTTTCATATAATATTCAAATTTTCGTGGTTTTACAGTGGAGCTTGAACGAGCTTACGAAGAGAAGCTCTCTAAGCTAGAAGAGCAGATCTGCCTCTGAAAGCTGATTGTTGATTGATGGCACCACTTTTGTATCTTTTGTTTTTATTTTATGAATAAAATGAACTTTTTGATCGTTTACACTCTATCATGATTACTCATTCTGTTTGGAATAAATAAACAAAATATTTATAGGATTTTTGGTAAACCCTTAGCCATCAATGGATTTAATGACCCTTTACCGACTACCGTTTGAGTCGGGCTAACATGCAGATTATCTAACTCAGTTCTACATGTAATGTTGTGCTAAAAGAACAACTCTCTTAGACTTAATACTACGATATTGAATACGTAGACTTCGTCATTCTTATTCTTACGCGAATAGACTACCCAGCTACGTGTGTTAGACGTAGACTTATCTCTGATTAAGGATCGAGATAAAATCCAATATGAATGATAGGCATAGATTTAAGTGTCATTAAGTCAGTAATAACCACTAGATACACGTGTAGACTTTTGAAGTTTTGTGTCTTCTCTTGGGTCAAAGACGAACCAACAGATTTGATGAGCCTTTACCGACTACCGTTTGAGTCGAACTACCAAGCAGATTGTCTAACTCCATTCTACATGTAATGTTGTGCTAAAAGAACAACTCTGTTAGACTTAATGCTACGATATTGAATACGTAGACTCTGTCATTCTTACTGGAATAGACTACCTGGCTACATGTGTTAGACGTAGACTTATCTCTGATTAAGGACCGAGATAAAATCCACTATGCATGATAGGCATAGATTTAAGTGTCATTAAGTCAGTAATAACAACTGGCTACACGTGTAGATTTTTAGAGTTTTGTGTCTTCTCTTGGGGCAAAGACGAACGCTGTTGTGTCTTGTCTTAGGGCAAAGATGAACCTGGTTGTGTCTCCTCTTGTGGCAGGGGCGAACCCTATTTTAAAGGGAAAGAAGGTATTTTTTTATCTTTCTCTTCGGGGGGACTCCTTGTTGACGTGAACTCAGAGTTGAAGGATTCTGGATGCACGTGCATCAGAGAATTTGGAAGGAAACTCAGAGTGGGATCTCCACTCCGAGAATTATATTTGAGTCATGCCACGTGGCATTGACTTAGAAGGGACCATTTAACTCACGTGTGCAAAAGGTGAAATTTGGATAACCCTAAACTGTTTGAAGGTTTGATTACCCAATTTGGAGTTTGAGATGATCCTAACTGTCTGAAGATTTGATCGCTCAAGTTTGAGAGAACCTCTCATTCATAGAAGGAATTGAGAGGGGATTTTGGTGTTGGTCCTAAATGTCTGAAGGTTTGACCGGGTTGGAGTTTGAGATGACCCTAACTGTCCGAAGGTTTGATCATCCAATTTGAATGGACCTCTCGTTCATGTAAGGAATCGAGAGGGGAATTTGGTTTTGGCCCTAACTGTTTGAACGTTTGACCAAGTGGGAGTTTGGGAGTAGTAGAGATAACAAGGATGGTGTTGATTGTCAAAGTCACTTTGTTGATGAGGACATAGTGGGAGTGTTGGTGTCAAGTTCTCAACGGTATTTTCTTGTAGAAACCTGACACGAAAGTCTTGCTAATTGCTATAGATTAGCAATTAATGCAAAGCGGAACATCGAGTACCATGTCAGGACTTTAACAGCGGGAGTGTTAAATGCCTAGACACAGCAAGGATGTATGGGTTTAACCGTGAAAGAAGGAAATAATGTATTTTCTTATCTCTCGCTTTTTTTAATGGTTAATGAGTTTGATTTGGTGGTCCCACTGCCAATTGACTGATCAGTGAGGGATTTTGTAATGTAGGACTATTAATTGTTGACGCTAACAATTATACAGTAAAAATTTTGTTAGGGAAGATCGATCAGATGGGATCATTAGATTTTTATCCCAATGAAAGAGTGAGCAAAGAATTACAGTAGGAGGGTTTGATGAAATTAATTCTGGCCATTGAAAATAACCAAGGATCATGGATGAAGGAAAGAAGGTATTTTGTTATCTTTCGCTTCACGAGAGGATTCTGGTTATCAAGAAAATACCGATAACCAAAAAATTTGTTTCAAGATAGATTTGAAAGGATTCAAAAGATTCGTTCCAATAGGATTGAAGCCAATGGAATGTGCTTCATGTCTTAAGGAACTTAGAGCCATAGTGGGAGAATTTTAATCATCTCAATAATGATTAAGAAAAACTATTTAGATGATTGAATTCCATCTTAAATAGTCAATTGATGTCGGGTTATTCATAAGAATACTATGCGTAGTATTCTCCAAGAACTTCCCGTAATTTTGTACATGAATATGTACAACGTGTACAATAATTCAAGTTGCGTGTATCAAATAGGTTATCCTGAATGCAACATGGGTAATACTTCTCCAAAAACTTCCCATTAATTGGCATCATGATCTTATCACCATTTTGGGTGATCAAGCGATATGCTCCGATTGAGTAGACTGTCTCTACTACAAATGGTCCTTCCCATTTGGGTTGGAATTTGTCTTTCTTCTTTGAGTTGAGTATCATTGGTCAACAAAATGATAAGTACCAAGTCTCCCTCTTTAAAGACCTACTACTGGACCTTTTACTCAAAGTCTCTGGAGATTCTAGCTTGGTATAACTCAATTTGTTGTTGAGTTTCCAAGCATTTATCGTCTAACATATCGAGTTCTTTGAGGCTTTTTTAATGTTGTTCTTCCTTCGTCATCCTTTTTGCGAGAGCGATGCGAAGGGATGTAATTTGAATCTCCAATGGAAGAACATCCTCGCACCCATACACTAGAGAATATGGAGTCGCTCTGGTAGGTGTACGGACTGTGGTACGATAGGCCCAGAGAGCTTCACCAAGTTTGTCATTCCAATCTCACTTGTTGATTTTTACTAGCTTCGTCAAGATCTTGATGATAGTATTGTTGAAGGCCTCAGCTAAACCATTTGCAGTGGAATTGTAAGCTGTTGATAAGACGTCTTGAATTCTAAACTTTCTACAGAATTTGATGAAAGCGTTACTGACAAACTGAGTGCCGTTGTCATGCACGATTCATCTTGGAACACCGTATCAGTAAATAATATAGTGTTTAATAAATTTAATGATGTCACTCGTCTTTACTTCTTTGAGTGGAATTGCTTCAGCCCACTTGGAGAATTAGTCAGTGATTGCCAAAATAAAATGGTCACTTTTGACTGACGGAAGGAAAATTAGGCCAACAACATCCATTCCCCAAGTCTCGAATGGCCAAGATGTTGCCAAAGGGTGCAGGTGCTCCGGTGGCTGGTGCATCTAGTTGGCATGTATTTGACATGCATGGCATTGTCGGGCATAGGCAACTACGTCCTTGACCATAGTTGGCTAATAATAGCCCATTCTACTAAGGCGGTCACATAATTTAGGACGAGGATGGTATGCACCATCAGTTCCACCATGTCCTTCTTTAAGGGCTTCTTCTGCCTCCTTGGTGGAAAGGCATCGGAGTAACAGGCTGTAGTATGTGTGACGATAAAGTGTCTGGGTTACCGCATTGTAGTAAAACCTTAACGCTCTTTGTCGAACCGAGTCTCTTTCTTTCATGTCTTCCGGAAAAATACCGTGTAAGACATAATCAATAATAAGGAAATGCCAATCTCGAGGTTCGAGTTTGATCCTAGTTGCGTGCACCTCATCGGTGTCTAGGGTACATTCTGGTATGAAAAGCTGATGAGTCCTCACAGTGACCACCTGTTCTATCTCAGGAGGCTGTGCTATAGAGACTGCCAGTATCGCTAGTGCATATGCGTAAGCATTCTGGAGGCATGGGATATACTCGATGAAGAAGTCTTCAAATGATTTCGCCACCTCGATAGCAGCTTTATGGTATGGGATCATGTCTTGATTCTTGACTTCGTATTCTCTTCGAACTTGGTTAATTATCAGTTGGGAATCACCAAAGCCTTCAAGGTACTCCACCCCCAGCTCTTTGGCGAAACTGAGTCCAATGAGAAGCGCGTTATATTCAGCCACGTTGTTAGAGAATGGCTCGATCAACGAATAAGCTCGAGGTATCACATGTTTCTCTGGAGAAATTAGGACAACTCCGACTCCTGAAGAAATCTTTGAACGTCTAGGAGTGCTTGCCATATGAGTTATGATGCCAGTGTTTTTGATGTTATAATGCCGACATTAACCAAGGCTTGGATTCTGTCTTTAAGAGCAAAACAAGTATTGGTAGGGTGATGAACCCTCCAGTGATACGCACAATACTTTCCGACCGAAGTCTTCTTAGCTTCCTCCTGATTTATAATTGGTGGCAACTTAATTTGTTGTTGTCCAGCATTGGATATCATGTCCCCAAGATATAGTTTTGATGATAACAATATATTCACTATATGTATTATTGTGCACTAACATATCAATGCAGATATCAACTTCAAATAAGCTCAAGATATGTGAACAAAAGTGCAAGATGAGCTCAAGGCAATATGAAGTAAAGAAGATGAAGTGCTTAAACATATACAATGTAAATTTTACATTTTCTTTACTTAGAATTATTGTACAAGCCTTGATCACTCACAACACATACACACACATAGTGTTTAGAACACACTAACACATGCTTAGTGTGTTGGTTAACAATAAAAATCACCTATGTTAACCATTAGAGTTTATAGTTAAAGAATGAATCTCAAAATATTTTATTCATATCATTTTTACCCCTTAGTAGTCGACCAATAAGATTTGTAGTTGACTACAAGCACACTAATCGAAATATTAAGTTTCAGTCATTTGATAGTGTAGTCGACTATTGACAATATTAGTCGACTACTCATGCCTTAGACATAATTTCAAGTTTCTATCAAATAACAGTGTAGTCAACTAATATACAGTGTAGTCGACTACTTAAGACTTTGACATATTTTCATGTTTCTGTAAAAATACAGTGTAGTCAACTAATGACTATATGTAGTCGACTACTAAGGTTAAATTCAATTTTTAAGTTTCTGTTAAATTACAGTGTAGTCAACTACTAGACAGTATAGTCGACTACTAAGAGTTGAATCTGAATTCCAGACTTTCAGTCTTTACAGTGTAGTCGACTAATGACCAATGTAGTTGACTACTAAGAAAAATCTTGACTTCACAAAGTCTGTTTGGACTCAGTATAGTCGACTACTTGGAGTTATAGTCGACTACAGAGATAGTTTTTCTGACATTCTAAGTTTGAATTTGTGACTGTTTATAGCCGTTTTTTATCTATTAATTGACTTTTAAAACTTGTCTTTTCAAGGGCTATAAATAGGTTAGAAGTTCAGAAATTTGCACCATTCGTTCCTATCCATAAGCTTTAACATTTGGGCATTCTAAAGAGTTCTAAATTCAGATTTTTGCCTAAGTGTTGAGAAAAAGTATTTGCTGAAATAGCCTTTGATCATTATCCTACATAACACTTATTTTAGCCAATTTCTAGAGATTAAAAATGTTCCTAAAGCCACTGCTACACATCACTACACATTTAAGGCTTATAGGAATGGTATTAGAATGTTATGCTATTCTATGACATAGACTTGAATTGCTTTTATGTAGGGGGAGTAAGTATATAATGCTTATAAATGTTTATTTCTTTTGTTATATACTTACATGTGCATAAATTATTTGTCATCATCAAAAAGGGGGAGAATGTTGGATATCATGTCCCCAAGATATAGTTTTGATGATAACAATTTATTCACTATGTGTATTATTATGCACTAACATATCAATGCAGATATCAACTTCAAATAAGCTCAAGATATGTGAACAAAAGTGCAAGATGAGCTCAAGGCAATATGAAGTAAAGAAGATGAAGTGGTTAAACATATACAATGTAAAATTTACATTTTCTTTACTTAGAATTATTGTACAAGCATTGATCACTCACAACACATACACACACATAGTGTTTAGGACACACTAACACATGCTTAGTGTGTTGGTTAACAATAGAAATCCCCTATGTGTGATGCCCCAGGGTTCACACAAGGCTGCAGTCCAAGGTGAAACCCGGATTGTCAAACCTGCCAAGCACCAAACACCATGCTACGACATGTTTCACCATCACAATCACTATCTCTCTAGTGGAAGCAACAAATAGGTGAAGGTACAAAACAAGCAAATAATAAAAGTAGTACAAAATCAGATATGCACAGAAGAAGTATATCAACAAATGAGCTCAACTGAAATAGAATAAAAATATCTCTGAGTCTGAAATACATCTCAACACAACGAGTTAAATGAAATCTTACAAAGGCACTCAGCCTCTACAAAATAAATACAACTCTAAGGTCTGACACTGGACATAAATGTATAGTGGAGCTTCAACTGCTAAAACTGTGCGACGGCGACTATGCTAGAACTCCGTCATCCTGCGGTTCTCCAAAACTCTGATCTGCCTGAAAGATACAATTTAAACAAAAAGAACAACAACAAGAGCGTCAGAGCGCTACAGCAAGATCACCTCCATCTGCCCCCAGGGGAAGGGCTACTAGATGAAGTGGAGGCTCTATCTATTAAGCATAGTCTACCTATATCATTTTCCTCGTATCTAATAGAGTTAATATTTAGACACCTACAAGACGAGACGTAGTACGTCGAGCGAAATAATCCAAACAAGGAAACCCTCATATATATACTATATGTCTCAAATTATAGATCCCTAAATACTAATTCCAACTCTATGAATGAAAACAACACTCAAAAGAAATACTCCAAGCCTCAACTATATAGAACCAATGTTACAATCTTGAACTACTTCTCAAGTAGTTGGCACAATTATAAGAGAATATCATTCAACTCAAAAATCATCATAGGCCATGTCATGTATGCCACAAATCAAAGAATGTACCCTACTCCTGGGTAATCTAACATGGGAGTAACTATAACTGATAATACATATATGTGTGCATCTCTTTATGCAATAGCGATACTCTTTTAATATTCTTACTCAATCGCTCTGTGATAATAGGTTTTATCTCCCTATCCCGGATATATGGAATGACGATACTTTTGTAATTTCCTACTCAATCGCTCTGCGGAAATAGGTTTTTTATTATTTCCCTATTCTGGATACATGTAATAATGATACTATTGTAATACTCTTACTCAATCATTCTGCGGCAAATAGGTTTCATCTCCCTATTTCCGAATACGTATAGAACATTATTATTCATATGTGTTTATCAATTTAACTCATGTCGAAAGTGTGTCAATCTAACACAATCTAGCATACATGTACCAATCTCGGTGTACGTGTCCACATCTGAAGTTCACCATCATCCCAGGTGTTTAACAAATCACTAATGTCATAGTCTATCATCATAAGGTCGAGAAATTCGTTCAACAACCAAAAAGAACTCAAATAAACATGCACATCCAAAACCAACTGGCGGTCGACCGTGGCAGTCGACCGCGACGGGCTCCAGAGACTACCCAGGTCTCTGTCCTGCACGCGGTCGACCGTGAACCCTGTTTCCAGATTCTCATGCTCTTTGTGTATGTCATGTTCACGTCATGTTTCCTCGATATAAACATGTCTAAAACTTCATAAAATTTGTATGGAAACATACCACAGCAGATGTGAACATCTGGAAACAACTCAACAATTATAAACATAATTTTATACATTAGATTTGTATTCAAAACCCTAAAACATGCATGAAGGCTCAAAACAACGAATCAAACCTCTTTCTTTAGTTTAACCAAAGTTCTTCAATCTAAAGCATGGACTTTTAACATATTAAACATAAGCATGATTGCTAATCAACTTAGGAAAGATAATCATTCATTAAATCATATTTTTAACACTTAGGTATCACAAACCTAGGTTTTTCTCATCTTTAATCCACATGCAAACTCAATTAAAAGTCAAATTAGGGTTTAAACATGATTAGTACATGATTAACAAGATAAAAATGAATTTAAAAGCAACCCTAATGATAATGATCATATTTCTATTATAAACAGCAAGAAAAACATGTAGATCTAACATTTGTTTAAGATCTAACAATAAAAATCTAATCTTTTTCATATTAGATTAAGATCTAAGCATGTAAACACAAATTAAACTTCCAAGCTAATTATTTAACTATGGGGATGGGTTTGGATATAAGTGATCTTGCCTTAATCTTATGTGCAAGCCTCTGAAGCAATCAGCAAGCAAACCACGAGCATGAACAACCTATTCTCCCTCACCACACGTCGATGATCTCGCCCTCGTGCCGGTGTTTTGCTTCACAAAGCTCTCCAAACTCATAAGAAAAAGGTTTAGGGTTTCTGAGGGGAGAGGATGGCTACTAGAGTTCATAGATATGATAAAATAAAAGAATTTTCGTGAGAAACATAGGTATTTATAAAGGCAAACCCGAAACAACCCTGTTTGACCCGAACCAGGAAACCTAATCTGACTAGGAAAATAACCTTCGGTATTTTGACTGTAACATTCTCATCCAACCTCGGAATGAGGTGATCTAAGATTTATTAGAAAGATGTTGAAGAGACCTACAACTTTAATCTTTTACACTTTTCCAAATTCTGAATGTATTGGTGTGTAAAATATAAAAACTCTTAACTAGTCATTATTCCCAGATTTTCACTCTTTTGGCCCTTGTGCATGTCTTGTGCATTTAAACTCATATTATCACAAATATACATTAATTTGATCTCAAAATCAATTTTTATCATACTCAAACATCAAAATATGTTATTTTCACCATATAACATATTTATTATTATTTATCATAAAATATTCAAATTTACGGGGTTTTATACTATGTTAACCATTAGAGTTTATAGTTAAAGAATGAATCTCAAAATACTTTATTCATAGCATTTTTACCCCTTAGTAGTCGACCAATAAGATTTGTAGTCGACTACAAGCACACTGATCAAAATATTAAGTTTCAGTCATTTGACAGTGTAGTCGACTATTGAAAATATTAGTCGACTACTCATGCCTTGGACACAATTTAATGTTTCTGTCAAATAACAGTGTAGTCGACTAATATACAATGTAGTCGACTTAAGACTTTGATAGATTTTTTAGTTTTTGTAAAAAAAAATACAGTGTAGTCGACTAATGACTATATGTAGTCGACTACTAAGGTTAA